ACTAATCTGAATATCAAACATAAACACTGGAAGGAGGAATTACTGATTCGTGTACATATGCGGGAAGCTGCAGAGAGTTTATCTGTTAAGACATGCTGCCAAGACCGCTTTGGAAAAATGAAATGCAAGGTGAATTGGAGGAGTCAACCTGTTGATATCATAAGACATTAGAAGTTTCAGATCCACAAGGGAAAGTCCAGGGGTTGGGGCAGATGTGGGGGGAAAGGCAAGGGGTCAGAGAGGACCTGCATTAGCTTCAGATGTGCTCTTTTGTCCTAGAAAGATAAAAAGGTGATGTTTTCCTAATATCCAGAGAGTGGAATCGCATTTCCCTGGAGCTGAATGAGGCTTAGGGGGAAAAATACTGATTACTATATGTTAATCAAGGTAAATGTTGGAACTGACATTAAGGATAAATTTTGGGTGAGATCTCAGTATTTATGAAAAATGATAATATTGTTTTGCTGAAGATTGAACCTCACCTGAATGCTGTGAAGAATATCTCGATTAATAATAAAGAATATAAGGCAAATGATGGGTCTATCAGCAAGATAAGGATTAAGTTAAAGTCCCCAAAAATGGCAGAACACAACTGCTAATCCTTTTAGACATTTGGGAATGTGAAGGTAGTGGAAGTTGGATAAGTCGAGTCTTGCATTCCTGGAGATCTGTTAATTTCTAGTGATCTGATTAACTAATAACTTACTTGACCTTTATTAAATAGTCAATGCAGTAAGAGACTGTTCAGATATTCCCAAGGGCCTTACTTGCATATATTTATACCTAATAAATTAGAAATTGTAATGGAAATGAAGGGGCATAAAAATAAGTCAACATGTTAGCAGTTGTTTATTTCCCCATCCTAATCTCTGCTGTATAAGAATCGTGGTATTTCTGTTTCCAAAATCTGTTTCTGGATTTCACTTTTATAGTGGACTGTTGCTAAGTTAAAAAAAAAAAAAAAAAGTTTTCCTGAATTTTGAGAGTTAATCTATACATGTTTCTTTTGTGCTCTGAAGGCGGTATTAATCACCAGAAAAGGCTTCTCTTTTGGTGTTTATACAACTAGACTTCCCTCAGGAATACCCTGCTTGTGTGTTGCTGATGCGAGTACGACATCTTACAAAGTCTGATTTAGTATGTGTGATGTCTGCCCTAGGAGTATACATAACACCAGAGGCTTCTGAAGAAGTCTGATCAAGAGACTTATCGTAGTTGTGCAATTACACTCCAATATTAAAAAAAAAATCAGAAACATCAGTATACTTAAAACTGCAGCTTGCACATTTTATACTTTTGATTTTCAGTACTCTTGTCAACAGAATTATAATTACGTACTGCTGCCAAATGTTCTTCAGACTATCAAAAAATAACGAGTTTAAATGTTAAGAATAGATATAGTCAGTGAATGATTACTGAACAAGAAAACTGTAGGTCTTTCTGTAAAATATTTCACCTTGAAAATGAATATTCTGAATCTCTGCTGAACAAATTTTAGTTACAATCAACCAGAGTCTAGAGGCAGAAACAGAGGGTGTGGATGAAGAAAAATGTTCTGTGGAATTAATGAATCTTTTAAGTTAAAGTTTAGCTGAAATGTTACCTTCTTGGAACAAGCTCATTCCAGTCAGTGGTTTTATGAGATGTAGCAACCTGACCAGAAAACAAATGCTTTCGCCTCTCCCCCCATCTGCAAGCTCTTTTCCATAGCTTTTATTAACTCTGCACGATGTTATATAAAAGCTCATCATACAGCCATGCTCCAAACTTCTGTTGAATCATCACCTAAGAACAAACACTTCTATGAAAAGTGAGTATCTTGACATACTGGCAGATCAATGACTTCCAATTAATGTGCCCACTCCAAAGCAGTGGGAAAGATTATGCCTTCCCTTGTCTTCCCTGCTTGAACTGAGCTCTGAAAATCAGAGGAAAAGAGTACGAAAATCCTCCTGGGTGACAGTTCCACCGAGCGAGGAAAGAATAATACAGACTATGGATGCACCCTCTATGCTAATTCTGGACATGTTCTTCTTCACATTCTGAAACACAGATCTTCGTATGTTCGGCCCTTGCTTTCACAGAGACTAGTTAAATGTCGTATTTCAAGTATTTGTCTTTTTTTGATTATCTGTTAAATATTTGTGTTTTGCTGACATGGCGTTCTTGTCTTTGTCAAATCGGGGACCACAATACCATCTCACAACTTGGACAGCAGTATCTTGAATGGCAAATGAACATAAAAAGGTTCAGGAAGTAATTTGTTCAGTAGCTTGAAAAAAAAAAAAATTAGAATAAATTTAGGAATTTGAATGCTTGTTACAATATCTTGGATGTATAGAGCATTCCTGGCAGCAAAAGCTCTTGAACTGAGGTCTGGAATTCCTATAGATTATGTCAGCTGAAATGAATAATTTGTGGTGATTCAAGTAATTAACTCCACCTTGTTAGATGTTTGAAGAGCTGGTTGTCACCAAAGTAAGTGTAAGCATTTACTATCCCACATATGACTAGGATGGAGAAATACTTTGTGAATATTGTCAAAGCACGCAAAGGCAAAAAAGGAGCCTTCTGAATAGATAGTAGATTGTTTCTGTCACAAAACATAGATGATTTCCATAAACTCACTGGAAAGCTACGTGGAGATTAACATTCTTACCTGGAAGTAATGAGCTAATACATGGTATTGAGGAAACAGAACAGAACAAACCCCCAGACAGGATCAGAGGGGATGGGAAATGGCGACTGGACTCTGACAAACCGAGGACAGAGATGCTCTCAAGAATTTGATGCAATGTATGAAATAGTTGAGATCAACGATATGCTACTCATCTCTATTCTTGATATTATACAGGATGGAGAGTAAAATCTTCTTCAGTCTAAGTTAAATAACTCAGCACATTATTAATTTGCACCTTCCCTGGAGTTTTCCTACATAGACTTTCACTTGTAGATGTGGCCGTGCACGCCTTCCACCTGTGGGGGTATTCGCAGGGTTACACAGAGTTTCCCCGTTGTAATTAAGCTCAAAGGCCAGACCAAGAAAAAAACTTTAGGAATTAATACACTATAGTTGTTGTGCTGTTTTTTGGATATGAACTTTTTCCTCCTCTGTCCCCACACTGGGAGTGTGCAGGAATGTGGGGGTGGAAAAGCCTGGACAGCTGACCCAAACTGTCCAAAGGGCTATTCCATACCATGTGATGTCATGTTCAGCACAAAGGCTTGGGGAAAGGAGAAGGAAGGGTGATATTTGTGCTTATTGTGTCTGTCTTCCCAAGTAATCATTATGCATGCTGAGGCCCTGGGAAGAACATCTGCCTGCCGGTGGGAAGCAGTAAATAAATTCCTTAATTCACTTTGCTTGTGTGTGCAGTTTTGCTCACTTCTTTAACTGTCTTCATCTCGACCCACATGGTTTCAGCTTCTGCTCTTCCAATTCTTTCCCCCATTGTGCTGGGGCAGGGCGGAGTGAGCAAGCAACTGGGCAGGTATTTAACTGCTGGTTAGGTTCAGCCCACAAGTACTGTCATCCATTTTTTGATTACTTGGGGCAAAATCTCTTGCAGTTGCACAGTCAGATTTTTTCCCCCCCTTCTGTGCATATAGAGTTCTGTGGTGCAACTTTTAACTTTTACAGTTTCTGTGTATTTTTACCGAACACCTTAGCTAGTTTGTTGTATTTGGATCTAATGAAGTCTACAGAGCAGAGAGAGAATAAACATTTTACTTAATTGTATTGTCTTCCTTTTAATTACTCTGCTCATCATTTTGTATATATGTATTGTTACTTCCTATATGCGATGACCTTTCAGCAAGAGGATATCCTGGGATGGTGGCCTCCAACAGAAAGCCGTAGGATTCTAACTCAAGAAGAGCCTTTTACCATCCCATCAGATGCCCCAGGACTTCGTCATGTAGTAGCTGACTTTGTCACAGCAGATGCATTTGATCACTCTTAAACTGCAAAAGGAAGAACATAGTCCAGACATGGGGCGTAAGTGAAAAACTGCATTGCCAAATAAAAGTATCTGAAGGAAGAACAAATTTTATGCAGGTTATTAAAGAGATAGTGTAGACTGCGTGTCTTCTTTAGTACTACATGGATAGATAGTTTAATACTAATTATACCTGGAAAATTCATGGATGTTCATCAGGTTTATCACAGAATAATGCTGTGATAGCCACTCCAAGGATTCCAGCCTGTATTTTAGAGCTAAGATGAGATGCAGGAAAATAATTGTACTTGTAGATAATCTGGTTCTCTAATTACAAAAACATCCATGTTAAGTATTTGGCACTGTTCTGCTTCTGTAGCTGTGTTCCCACACAGCTAAACTGGATGGAGAATGTACTGGTTTATGTCAAGATATTCCAGACACAAACATTCCTGGTGTAGTTTTGCTTAAGCTATATAGTTCAACAAGGACAAGTGAACTGTGAGAAACCCCAAGCAAAAACTATGGATCAAATATACTTTTCTGTCTTAAATGTAAAGTTTCCTACACAGGAAAGAAAATAATGTATGTATCATGCAGAATCCAGGAATATTTTAAAAGTTGTATCTGGGAGAACTTCATTTTTTTGTGTGTTCTATATTGTCTTCTGTTGTCATCATATGTCACTGAAGCACAAGCTAAAAGCTGTATACGAGAAGGAATGTGAAAAAGTTACATTTTTCTCTTTTAAAGTTTAACCACATTTTATTTTACATTAATTGCATTATTAAAGAAAATACTCCTTTTTAAAGTAATGTAATGGAAACATCAAAGATTACAATCAGTGAACTTATTTTGAAAACTGAACTTTAAAACTATCACCAAATAGCCAAGACAAACTGAATTTACTGGAAGCAGAAAAAAAATTCATTAAGCCAAGTCTGAAATGAAAGTTCTAGTAGAATGACCAATGGCCAGCAAATAAAAAGCAGCAGAAGAATTATGTGTGTAATTGGATACTTGTGCCATATATTCTATTTCTGTTATGGTATGAAAAACAGTTTACTTGATGTCACACGGGAGAGCCACTCCTCTCAATATCCAGTGGTCTGGAGACACTACTGTCCTTAGATACATCACTGTAATGTAGTTCAGATCTGCCCTCTTGGACTTCTTGTAGAGAGGACAAACATAGAGCTTGGGATCCTTAGGACTGGTTGTATTAACAGCAAATATATGCACCACAGGCAGCTGGACATAAAGAATCTTTGGTGTGCATTCAATAAGTTTGCTGTTTCGTCTGTCCCAGCCTGCACCTTCCAAGTATAGCCCATAGATATATACTCCTTCCTGTGTGGAGAGTAAGCAGACACATCACACAAAATAAAGCATCTGTTTTGTAAAATGGGTAATTGGTTTAAACCATTAAAAGGAATATTTGTTTTATACTAAAAAATAGCTGACGTTGACTCTTTCAAACTATTTAATTTTAAACTATAATATCCTTTTTCAGAAGATAATGCTACTGAAATGGATGGCAATAAAAGATGTTTAATAAAGCCGGTACACTACACAATTTAATCTAAAGTTTACTATAAATTCCAAAAATTGAGAGGTAATACAATGAAATGGTTCTTCTAATAAAATGTTTTTGTAATTGCAAAATAAAAAGAATTTAAATCTTCATGCTTGTTATTAGCTATCGTCTGTGCTAAGCAAAACCAGTGAGGTGAAGACAATAGTAACTTTTTCCTCTAGCAATCCAAAATGACTAAATGATACACGATATAAATTAAATACCGAAATTAAGACTTTGCATGTCATACATACAGAAGGAGATGCTGTGATTTCTTCTTTTTTTTGCTTTAACCCTTCGTTATATATTGTAACTGTATCTAAAGCCCAGCCTTTATATGCTTGAGTTGCTTCTTTTCTCATTGCTGTCAGGAATCCTTTAGAAATTAAGCCAGAGATTTAGCATATCTCACATGACAAAAAAACCCTCTTGCTCAGTTATCTGCATGGTTCTGCACTGAATGTTATAGACAGATATTCAGAGTTCTATTGAAAATGAGCACCTTGACTAGTGATAGCAAACTTTGCTTTGGGGTCAAAATAGGAGCAAATGACAAAAGTGGCATAGAATGCATTACACTGAGACAAATGTTTTTAAATGGCACATAAAATAATATATTTTTTTTTCTACTGCATTATTCAGTTAACGAATGTTTGCTCAGGATACTGATTTACAAATTATCATTAGGCAATCAACTACAGGATCCGTGGCAGATTTGTATTTCAAGAAGGAATTGGAAGGCAGACAAGATATCAATTAATTGAGCTGATATTTATGCAAAGGCAACTTAGAAAAAAGACAATTTTTATTTTAAATGAAAGAAGTAGAAAAATAAAATAAATTTCACTGACAAAAAACAGAAAAGGTGCATCTGAATGTGATAACAAAAATAACTATATGAATGTGGAGAATCTAGACAAGGCAGTGCCTATGAAGGATGAAAAATTTATATTTTGTTAGTGAAGAAAAGGGAGTCCTAGACAGAAAAGAAAGTAGAGGATGACACAATCAAGCAGCAAGTTAGGTGATTTTTTGAGTATTGTTTTGAACAGACTTTACAGAGTTTTGCAATAATAAAGTTTTGGAAGGTAAAAGGCTGAATAGTATAAGCACAGGGTAACAAATAACTGGGCAGCAAAGAGGTTTGGATGTGTTCTAAAGGAATAAGTTACAAAAATGGAACACTTGTGGCAAACAGCCTGGTTGTTCTTGTATAAGTGTCTCAGAAGATGACAATGCAGTCACCAAAACAATAGCTGCTGTTTTATGCTACCAGATGGGGAACTACTTGGAGTTGTCAGAAAGAGACTGAGGCGAAGAGAGAAAAGTTTAATGATAGAGAACTGCATACTTAAGAGTCATTACTGTAAAGACTTAAAGATGAAATGGCATCAGTTCCTTCTCGATAGGGCATAAAGGAAAAGCAGACTAGCGTTCTAGTGTTTTGTGGGCTGTCAAGTAGCTACAAGGAGGTGAAACCACCGACTGAAATACTGACAAGCTGGGGGGGGAATCATGAAAGTACATGGGCATGCAGCAGAAGACAGCATTTCAAGATTTAAGAAGTGGTTTAACCTGCTAATTAGGACAAAACCAGTTAGAAGCTAAGATATTTGTCACAGCTAAAAAATCCTTATGTGATGAAAATATAATTAACGTAGTACTTAAACATGTATTCATTTCTCAGATACTATATATTTTGATAAAAACAAAACAGTGTGATTTAGGCTTCTAAATTTTGCTAATAATTAATTATATCTCTATAGTGTGATTATTGCTTTTTTCATAAGCCTGTTCATTCCAAGTACCATGCACACTGAATGGAATATCATACCAACACTAACATACATTATCCCTTAATAATGATAATTTATAGGAGATAAGTACCAATAATTGCTAAAAAAAATCACAACAGGTTTAAATACAATTATTGGTGATACTTTATAGTACTATAGATTTTTCCACTAAACTGCTAAAATACATTCCTTATGTTTTAACATTATAGTGTATTCGCCAATGCTATGATAAATTTAGAGCTTGATTCACCAGTGCCATCAGGCTACATTTCCCTGCAGTGGCAGCACAGGGTAGTCCCATTTCTGATTTCCCTCATACCAGCCAATTTTTAAACTTTACTGTACGATTTGATATACCCAGAATTTCCTGGTGAGCAGCATTGTGAATACAGGAGAAGTTTCTCACAATAACTTTGTATGGACAGGTGTGTAAGGTAAATGAGATTCTTCTATGAACATGCATCTAACAAGGTAACAGGTGTTGTTACTCATGAAGATGGTTGCAGTTTGTTTTTCTTCCTCTTTCCTATAAAATGATAAGTGTATCAAGCTGTAACAGATAATGGTAGATAACATTTACTTGTACTTTGCAGTATGTCTTTGGTTAATTTGGACAAACTGTTCATTAAATAACGTGTGAAATGAAAACACTGAGAAAACTATAGTTTGATGATTCTCTGTGAAAGATAGATAACTGCCGTAAATTCTGGTATAGTTGCATGTTCATAGAATCATAGAACAGCCCAGGTTGGAAGGGACCATGAAAAATCACCTGGTCCAACCTTTTGTGGGAAAGACAGCTTAGATGAGATTATCTAGCACCCTTTCCAACTGCATCTTGAAAACCTCCAGCAATGGGAACTCTAACATGTCCCTGGGGCGGTTGTTCCAGTGAATGATTGTTCTTACTGTAAAAAAATTGTTTCTGTTACTACTCTATAGCATATGAATAACATATTGATTTAGATTAAAGCTCTTCCATACTCACAACTTACAGTTTGGAATGAGTTAAACAGTTTGAAACCACAGGAAATGCATGTTTTCTTTAAAAACTGTATCATTATTATTAAGTATATTTTCTTTAGAAGTTGTATCGTAGCATGCTACAATATGTCAACAAAATACAGCATTTTATTTGTTAACTGCATGTTTTCTTTCCTGTAACAGAAAACCTGTATGGGTCAGACTAAAAGACCGTTATACAAGCATCCTGTCTCTTACACTAGAGAAAGGCAGATGCTTAGTGAAATAATACTACAACAGGTAAAATGGAACATCAGTCCTTTCCATTCTATGTTCTTCCAGATTCTGGCAACCTGGAGCTTAGAGACCTCCCAACTTGAAGGTTAAATTTGGACAGTCATGTTTATTGCTACCATTGGACCTGTTTCCCATGACTTTATCCAATCTCCTTTTTGAATCCATTTATCATCTGGGCTTCTATGACATATACTGACAGTGATGAAGACATTTTTTCTAGGTGTAACATTAAATTAAATATGTGGTAAAAACCATTAAATTATGATTAAATACATTATTACTCAAGTCCTTTCAGTACCCTTACCTTGCGAATTAAAGAATCCGGTCATCCAAAACACGTTTGGTCTTCCTTCATATATCCAAGTGGAGAACTGGTGATTTCTTTCCAAAAGTTCAGTGAACCAGAAGCCAAGTGTTGAAGAATCCCAAGATACTCTTTTCCATACTTGAGGAATTCTAGCATTATACATATTATCAAGTGCATCTCTCAGATTCTGAAGGAATGAAATTATAATATATGAACTAAAGACATCAAGGTAATAATTTAAAACAAGGTATTCCATATGTAGTAAATATGTTTTTACTTGCCTCACTCATAACAATAGTTCCTTCTATGGCTAATTTAAGATCATTCAAACTGTTGTGGAGTGTTGTGATCACCTTCTGCATTCGGTCAATTTCTTGCTGAAGAAAAATATTCATAGAATTAAGGTGTCCCATTTTATTTAAATGATCTTTTACCTAAAATATAGGATTGCAGAAGAAGGAATTTAGTTAAATCTGAAATGTTGAAATACCATTGTTATATATGACATCTTAACTTTCTTGTGTTCAGAAAAGTAGAATCACAGAATCATACAATAGTTTGGGTTGGAAGAGACCTTCAGAGGTCATCTAGTCCGACTCCCCTGAGTGGGGATATCTTCAACTAGACCAGCTTGCTCAGAGTACCGTCCAACCTGGCCTGAAATGTTTCCAGGGATGGGGCATCTGCCACCTCTTTGGGGAACCTGTTCCTGTGTTTCATCACCCTCGTTAGTAATAGTCACAAGTAGATAGTACACTTGTACTTCACATTATTCAACTAACATTTATCCCCTTAAAACTGTTGCACATTTAATTTTTATTTTTTGCCTGATACTACCCAATTATTCATGATTTTGCTAGAATAGAACTTCACCCAGAAGGCCTAGGAGACTGCTGTCACAAAAAGTAAAGACTGATTTTTTTCTGTGTTTTCACATGCAGCTTTGGAAGTCCAAGCATAGCCTTCATGACATATCTCCATGATCAATTATTAGAAGTCTTGATTTTAAATAAAAAAGCCTCATACCAATTCACACTGATAGCAATAAAGTTGTTGGTTCCTTGTGAATCTGCTACTAGCTATACGATCTTTCTTTACAGTTCAGGATTTCTTTTTTGGAATGTCTTACATGAAAACTCAACAGAGAGAACAGTAGGAAAAAAATAAAGATTAGCTTGCCTCATGGGGTATGTAATCTGAAGGAAGTTTCTCTAGCATGTCTTCAGCTAAACGATAAACAATTTCTTCACGAGTTTCTCCAGGTCCTGCACCACTTTCTTTAGGCTGAATGTTGGTAATAGTATCTAGAACATCAGCTGCTGTATTACTTTGGTATCTGAGAGGATAAGAAATATGTTATAAATTACTTAGAATTTTTTAATAGTTAAAAGGACAGTTTGTAGAACACACAACCTGAAAGTTGAGGAAAAACATACTGTGTCACCGGGTTAAATTAAAAGTTCCAAAAGAAATTGTTTTCTTTTGTGTCTTGCACCAAGCTGAACACACTAATAGTGAGCAACGTGTGGCTTTCCGTGGTTGTACAGAATGTGAACTTCCCTCTACACACCCTGTTATGCAGTTGCTGTTTTTCTAATTCAGGACTAAGAAGAAGAAAGAGTTCCACAGGCTGCTTCTCAACCTTTCAGAATGTGAAGTGGCAGAAAAGCCTATCACATGATTTCTAGGGATTCTAAGGAAATGGCAGAAAATGGCATATGCCTGAACTTCTAAATAGCTATTTGGTGGGAAAACGCAGAAAAAGTTTTGTAACAAGGAAGCATATTTCCCTCATTTAGTTACTTCTTAAAAGTGGAATGCAGAAGAAAGAAAAGGTAGAGGCACAACCCTGCAAGCTGCCCCTTTATCTGCCTTGAGGTGTTTCAGGACTAATGATAAAAGCTGCTAGATTTTCAACACTGGAGATTAAAACCCTCTATTCCACAGTTACACTGCCCACAGCATGGGCAGTGCTAATATATATTTGTGTTCTGAGTCAATACAAAAATGTGAATTAAATTCACGTGTCATTTGATGCTAGAAGATAGTAGAACATGTCAGTCTGTCAACACAAGCAGAATTATAGGAGTACTTTTGTTATAATGCTGTCTAGTGGCATAGAGCTACGAGAGGCAGTAAGAAAGAAAACGTCACAGTGTATGTGTTAGTAGTGCAGTGCTGGCATTGCCTACTTTTACCTTATGGAATCAGCTACATGAGGAACATACAGCCTGAGCCTGACTCGGAACATAAATTTATACTGACTTAATGCATAATTTTGCGTCTCAGTTTTACTTTTCGACCTTCATATGACATCCATCTCCTTCTATTACTTTGTCATACATAATTATATAAGAAACGAAACCAAGGTTTCTGCCGCAAGATCGAACATGTGGAGCATCTAAGCTTTGGAGCTAGTATCATAAGACTATAGAAGCTAGATACTGCAGCATTTCAAAATAAACTGTTTGCAATGCAATTATAAAGATTATAAATCAGAATAATAGAAGAAATCCTACTGGCAGTTTGCTTCTCAGAGGATATATAATTTCTGCTTCTGACTGTAGGAATGGTGGGGATTTTGTCTGGTGAAACTCTCAAGCTTTTTCCGTTTACGGTCTCATGTAAAGAATGATAGATTTATTCAAGACAACATATGACAGAAAAGTTGGGTAAAACCATATTTCTCTTGGACCCATGGCTTCATTCCTAATTTGGAGTTATAGCCCTTACTCTGGGTTTCACTGATCTAGCAACTAGTGATAAAAGAAATGTGAACTTTCCTCTTCACATTGCAAGTACTGATCTTCCAATACTGGTGTCAGACTTCTCCATTCTATGTGGAGGGAATAGATCCTATGATTACCACATCAATTAAATTATAAAATATTACAAAATTATAAAAATGAATGGCCTTTCCCCAAATCTAAACAAAAATAGAAACAATTTTAAAAAGAAGGCAATATGCAAATTTTTGGGAAAAGCAGAGAACAGTTTCTGAAAAAAAACCCTCAAAGGATCAGAACCAAAGGTAAGTAATATTCCTTTCTTCAATGACACAAGCTAGGAATCTTCTGGAGAAGAGAAATGATCATCTGAATCTTGTATAAGGAAGCAAACATGAATAGCAATAGCAATTTGAATAAGACGACTTTCATTTTAAATAAAAATAGAAAAGACAAAAAGATGCGTCTCAATGTGTACATAATTAAAAATATATTCCACTGTGGAAGTGAAGAGAAAATAGAAACAAGAAATTTCATTCACATAACAGTTGGACACAGTGAATAAGACACTCCAAAACAAAAGTTTTTCTGGGCTTTGGAAAACCTGACTTTCCTTTACACTGCAAATAAAAGATTGAAGTACAGATGCAAACAATAGTAAAAGAAAGATTACACAGGTTTGTAGAGGAAGTACCATGTTCCTGGGAAGGAAATCAGATATACACGATGGGGTGTCCCTGATCATGTTTAAACATCTACTTGTAGATATCCACCTAACATCTGTTTGTCTAGGTTGCCCTTACAGTTAATGGGAAGAAGCATGATTCAGCACATGTATTTTAGATGTCTGCTTTGTGATCAGAGGAATTGCACTTTACAAGAATCTATTTTTCTCTATTACAGTAAAAGAAGCCTTGGGTAACCATAAAGGAATCTAAAGCAACATTAAATGAATCTCATTTAATAGTGATGTTGGGTTGACGGTTGGACTTGATGATCTTAGAGGTTTTTTCCAACCTTAATGAATCTATGATTTTATGATTGATTTACAGTGTCAATTTTGCCTGAAAGTGATCATGTAAGATAAAGCACTTTATAACTGTATCCTTGTTTTTCCCTGAAGCAGTATTGCAAAGCAAATTGTGTCACAAGGAGAAAAAAAAGAAAGAGTTTTCTATGGATTTTGATTTGCTCCAAGAAGTATTATTACAGATATTTTCTTACAGAGTTTGGATTCAACAGTCTATCATAGTTTGATAGCTGGAGTGTCTGCCACCAGGAATTTTGTGTGCTGGACATTGAAACTAAGAACAAATGCAGTGTGATAGAACTATTACCCCAGCTTTGTGTAGAAAACAGCAACATCTGTTGCAAAGTGGTATTCAAAATCTTACATCCACCAGGGGACAATAGGAGATTCTGCTCTGTCTTCAGTTGGTTAATAACAGCTTCCAGTAACTTTACAAAAATTCAGTTCAGTTTAAGGCTTTGGTATGGAGAAGGGATTTTGACAGAAGGTTTTCAGAATATTCCTTGCCTGGTCAGGTACCTGTTAACAATGTAGCCTTTGCAGAGGCTATGGTTCATATAGCAAGTTAAAATTAGTCACAGTGACTTCAGGTGTTAATCCCGAGTGGATGAAAGTATTGACATCCACTGAAATTTTACAGTTAGAACCAATGGATTGAGCTTTTGTCTGAACTGGAAAACTGTTCCACTAAACCAGCAGGAGATAAGGTCGTTCTTGTCCTCAGTAATAGGAACATAGAGAGGTCCTAGCTGTCTCGATTCCAGTTCTAGCAGTTAGCCTTCTGCATACTCTGAGATGACTTGACAGGATATGTTAAGCAGGATTTGAATGCAACTTTTTATGGGATTGTACGGGATGTTAGTCCATTTGGTCTGTGTGTCAAAGACTAAATTCAGGCAGACAGCATATGTGCGTAGTTGCCTATAACAGACTGTGATAAGACATGGAAAAAAGCATGAAGCTGTTGAACGTTTTCCCCGAACTCTGAAGAAATACCTACAAAGGAAAATCTCCAGAAAAAACGACTAAAGTAGCAGGAATATGCTGATGTACCAAATAGAAGAAAAACTTGGTACTAGAAAGAAATTAAATAGCTGTTCCTATCCATTAATGCTCCCCCAACAATGTTAGTCTCAAGTTTCCTTCTATGAATTAGCCCTCTTACAAGCATGTCTCTCTTTAGCACTTTGTTTAGTTCGCTGTTAAATCTTGGCTCTTCTTTAACCAGTTCTGGAAGGGAGGTCTTGCAAGTATCAGAGAATGACTTGAAACAGAATCTACTCTTAGATTATTTTGTTCAGAAGTATATATTTACAATGGTAGGTGCTAGGCAGAGTTGACAATAAAACTGTGTACTGTTCTCACAGCAGGCTTAGAATACTGGGCTTTTGATCTGGCATCAACCTCTCAAATTTGAGACTGAAAAATTGTGAAAAAGCATTGTTTTGTCCAAAAGTGTTAGAAGATACTAACTTTCCACAGCAATTGGGCATTTGAATAACATTTGTTTTGTTCAAAAATACAAAAAGCTGTGTTAAGAAACAATGAATGTGGACATAATGAAAATGCAATAATTCATGGCAGAGTTATTAACAACTTCAGGGAAAAAAAATATGATGATGATTCATATACTTTCACAGGGCATAGAACAGTAGAAGGAAATAAAAGCAAAGCTGTTGCACACATTATTTGGAATGAAAAAGTGAATTAAGTCAAGGATAAATTTAAAATGGAGTTAGTAGTTGGTGAGGTTGAGAAGCCTCTTTTAAATAATGGGAATGGCAGGACTGATGGCAACAAAAGATTGTAGTTACATCCAAAGTCGTGCTGTAAACCAAATGACAATCCAAAGAATCATTTAATGAGTGCGCACAAAAAAAAATATACTACTTGGAACAGAAGGCAAACGTTAGAAACTTTCTCTACTTGAACTGTATAGAACCTTTTATCATGTGTTCATGTAAAAGTTTTATAATGCTTTCAAATTTAAAAAAAAAAATTCTAAACCCATGAGAAGTAAGTAATAAGAATTCCTACTGCTTTAAAAGAACATGTAAAATGTAGCTGAAGATACTGCATTCATAACCACACATATACACATCGTATTCCACTCCAATAGTGAAATTCACATGAATCCTAGATTTCCCACAAAAAATACATTTTACTGTAGAATTTCATAGGGATTTGTTCCCAAATACTAAAAGAAAGGGTCTTTGTTTTCAGTCTGCTGAGACCTACTTACGTAATATCAGCATTAGGATGGAGACCAAAGACCTTTGGGCTGTCCATGGCAGGGAGTGAGTGGATGTATTCAAAATACTGTCCCAGGGTTTTGCCCACTGGAATTTTATATCCAGTGTGAAAACAGAAAGTGCTGTCAAACATCTTTTCATTAAACCATACCTGTGAAAAACCCAGAGGAAAAAAACCACAATTACTTTGCTAGTCAGGAATTTTTAAAATAATTTTTATTCTTGGAGAATTAGAGTTCTTGTTTTAACTACTACATCTAATTTTACTTGAATACACAAGTAAATTATTAAAAGCTATGTCTTCCAAGTTTAAGTTCCAGCTAAGTCTTTTTAATAATTTCTGCTCCTGACTAAGGAGGAACCAAGGGGAAGAACCTCACTGTCAAAGAATGATGTTTTAAAAAATTCATTTTACGCTGAAGAGTCTTATAAACTGGTGAAGAAGTGCATATTCAGCAGAAGGAAGGTGTTCTGATTTCTGTACTGCAGCTGCCAATAAAAATGACAAATAACTGTATTATCAAGGTCTCTCACTCTTGCAAAGCAATTAAAAAGACGCTTATCAAAGTCATCTGTGACTCGGCCTCCATATTGTACTTCTGCAATCACGTAGCGTACTGTGATCCATGATATCCCCTGGATGCAAGTAAAGTAAATAAAAGACATTATAACGTGTAAGAACAAGGTATCCAGCCTGTAATTTTGATATCATCTGAAACTCATAAGGCTCTGAAATGTAAGCTGAAAAGATCATTGTTTCAAAAAAACCTCAACTTTATTTCTAAATTATTTTCTGAGCTCAGGTCTACAATTTTACAGTTGAGTTGGTTTTGATCTTGCTATTAGAAATACATCTCATTATTTCTTGCGTGACCTAAAATTGCTACTGCAACTCCTCTTTCTTGAAAAAAACAAGATAAAATACTCAAGTTCTTAACTATTACGTTTTTATGTGTATAATAACACACAAAATATTTCAGCTTGACTGACTTACAGAGAATCTGAAACTCTGATCATTAGAAGTTGCACTGAAAGGATAGCAATGAATAAACTATAAATAGTAACATGAAGAAAAAAACAATTACAGATGCTGTACAAGGCAATAATATAGGGTATGCAAATTCTATTATTCACCTTCTTGATGTCACAGTTGTCTTGGTGATTTTGTATAAACTGAACACTGGCCTTAAAGTCTGCTGAGTTAAATTCATAGGGAATGTTCCAACCCAAAGGCCCAAACTTGCGTCGTTCCTTAGGAATACAATAAAAACCAAATATATTTATGAAAAAACATATAATTTTGTTTCATTATTAAAGTTCAAGAATAATAATATTAGTGGAGTAAAGAACTGAACTGAAGAAAGCTAGCCTAGAAAACAGCTGTGTACCTCATACACGTCAGTAAAAATCAAAGTTTATTATGAAGTTACACCATGAGGGATAAATATTTATAGAAAAAGCAACAGAATCATTTATTGCTACCTTTACTAATCAATGTATCAGACATAGGTTTGAAATGTCTCATATATGTGTGAATGATCAGATTTTGATATGAAGTAATTAAAGAATTACCAAATCTCTGCATTTTCAGCACACTCAAAAATTTCTAGTTCACAGTTTTTAATTTTTTCTACCTATACAGTCTACTAATGATAGTTTCAATCTTTCAAGCTTCTGTATGAATGCTCAGTTATCCAAAGGCTCCTAGGTTGCCCCTTTTGTCTTACTATTTCATCGTATTGCTTTAATACATGTTTTACAAAATTCACAAATTTATTATAAGGCTGCTACCACTACATTATTCAAATTTATGATTGCATATATATTTGAAAATAAAATTGTAACACTTGCAGGAACAGAAAGATAATTGACAGTAAAAGTAAGAGAATGTAATCTGCAGCCCAAATATTTTAAACATCCAATATTGATTTCTCACAACTTTATTTTAAATCCACCTCAGTTACAGCAAAGATTGTTTTCAGAACATTGAATAAATTAATCCAAGAAGTTAAGAATTAAACTGCTGATTGGTGCTGACATTTATTAAATGAATAAACAGTGTAATACTGACATTCTAAAATTAACTAAGTGATAACATAATTATTAGAGTTTAAATTACCAGGTCAGCAATGACTGACAGTATTTGACATCTAGTTAAGTAACATTTAGGTACCTTAGCTGCAATATTTAAACAGAACTAGTAGTGAAATTAATATTTTATTTTTTCAAAATCAGGTATTGTTTATAAGCAGATGAGACTGCATTAACCAATAATACCCTGCAAGAAAGATATAATGATTTTCTGCCAAATTCTCTGAATTACTTCTTGAGCTATATTTATCATGGCGATCTTGTCACCAAAGGATATTAGGAATTGGTCAGTTTAAAGGCAGGCAATGTATATGTTGCTTGCTGTTTTGCAATCCATAAATAAAATTTTCTTAACAGATGAATAGCTGTAATATTTTTTAAAAGTGTTGGTGGCTGAATAAGCTTAGGTGTTTTAGTTCCACAAGAACAGTGTAATCCCGAGGCATGTTCCTGACAGAACAACTTTCTCACTGTTTATAAAAAGATTGAAGGAGAAAAATAATGCAGAATATTATATCTTAATAGAGACCTCAACAAATTGTCTTTCTCTTTCACCATCTTTGCTACACTGAAAATATGAGCAGCTCAATAAAGCCTAAGGCTCAAATAGTGTTTCAGAACTATTTTGAGATCCTTGCTGAAAAGCAGGTGTATTCAAGAGACCTCAGAATTCTGGTATTTATTGTGATCTCAAAACTGACATAACTTTAAAGTACAAAGCATAGATATTGTGCTCACATTGGAATTAATGTAGAACACACCCTGACACAAATAAAAGTAAGAACCAGACACTAAGTGACAGAATTTTATTTAATTTTAGCCATCTAGAAAGTAGAGAGCTACTCTAAGCTAGGCATCTGGATTGCCTTTAAAATTAGTGGACAGAAAGAATGATATACATCCAGAAAATTATTCACTCTTTTACAGAGAGACAACTAAGAGAGGTAAGATGATTTTATTTTCAAGGTGCTTATCTATTTCTATTGACTACAGAGAAAGCTTTTTCCCTTACACCAGATGACTAACCTTTGGACAGCTAAAAGTAGATGAGAAAAATCCTCACGTTAAATGTCCATGGAATGTGTAAAATTTATGAAACAATTACGAGAATAAAGCACCTTGAAATACAAATTATAGAAATTAAAGCTTCAGCCCCGCAACATGATGCTACAATAAATATCAGAATGTGTATTGTCAGGAACATCTGTTAAAGTGACTCCATACACTATAACAGTATTTGCAAAGCTTATAAGAAATACCTGAACAGTAGAATGCGGGAAAGCTACAGTGTAAAGCAAAGGTTTCCACATAGGCATATTGCTAACATCTAACAGATCCTGATTAATTCCAGAAAATGTTCTTTTCAAACTGGCACGTACACCTTGGGGAGGTTCATTTGTGAACTTTATAGCAACCTGTCATGTGAAAAAGATAAAGGAATTGGATTTGTTTACTGAACCAGCAACATACTAAAATGTCACAACTATTAGTTACAAATACAATGGAAAAAGTTGAAGCATTGTAGATACAAAGTTGATATGTAGTTTTACTATAAACTGCTTAAAGAGAGTACATACTAGATTAGGCCCCAAAAGTCTGTAATATACATTACCTTAAGATTTTGAACATGGACCTTCAGTTTATGTTGGTCAGAACCATCACTGATACTTGTCCATGGCTCTAAGAATTTTCATCAACAACTAGAAGCAATTGCCATGCTTTTCAGAAGGCATCATCCAGAGTAGATGACAAGAACTCTTCCATATTTCTGCTCCCAGAACTTCACAGTAAATACAACGAAATCTCACCTTGCTTCAGACCAGATCTATTTGTTCACAGTGGCTACTCTGGACTCGGTGGCCATGTCTGCAGCAGTAAATCAGATTCACCTGAGAATGTTCCAGGGCACTTCAGTCAGCAGGCATGGAATCCACATTTGTGGTAGTAACCTGTCACAGCCCCTTAGAATACAGCCCCTTAGTTTCACGCAAAGTGCTTAATGGGAATGGTTTCTACAAAATTTTAATTGTCAAACCATGCCTGTAAATTATTTGAAAGACTGCTGGTTAGCACAGGTTTTCACGTCAAAGAATGTTGTAACTACTTACCCCTTTGGACTATTGCATTCCAGTGCTGGGTAATGTTCATGGGCACACTTGAAACTATTAGTTCAGATGCAGACTGGCCTTACTAGAATCTGTATTCATTGAGACACTTTCAAATGCTGGAAGAACCCAAATAAAAAAGTATTTTTCTGCTCCAACAGTAAGCACTTGTCTGGCTGGCTTGGTTAACATGGCAGCATGCACTGAAAGCATGGTAAATGCCAGGGTGCTCACAGGCTGAATGCAAGCATGCCTCTGAACCGTTTCTGCTTCTGAGAGACGCTTAATGGAAGACACTGATGAATGTGTCCTTCACCTGGCAATTTTACTATCTCCATATTTGTGGTAAAGAATCTCAGTTATTTTTAAGGAATGACTTTTCAACTTCAGTCTCACAAACTTATTTCTGGGCTGCAGAGCTCAGGCAAGCTTTCTCAGAGATGAGCTCCAGCCTTCTGCAAAGACCCATCTGCAACGTGAGCGCACTAGAGTGTTGGACTGAATGAGAAAACTTGCTAACCAATCTTTCCACATTTCAAAGGATATCTTGCTCAGTTTTTGATTAATGTTCTGTATAAAAACCCAAATTATTCTTTCTTCTGAGAAAGAGCTGACCTTCGGTTTGTCAGTTCTTAATTTTCTGGAATCCCTGAAAACAGTAATATTTTAACAGGTAACTTGACCCTATAGATTGGGAATTCACATGTGAAACATTTGAGATAAATGCAGTGAAGATTCATCTAGCAATCCTGTCAGGCTTCTACTCTCACTTTTAGCAAACTACATGTTTATATGGCCCACTATTCATAAACCCCTTGAAGATGCAGGATGATCTCATTTTCTGTTGAGACAATATATGAAAATGTAGGTCCATACCACTAGCTTTCTATAAACAGCCTTTTTCCATGGTGACATACATTCCTTCCTGAAGGTTGTCTCCTAGATTAATTTGAGAAAGGAACCTGGCCCCCCCCCTTCACATCCTAGATACGAGGTATGCTATCTATCTTTATTCAGAGAGAATGAGAATCACTAAGGAGACTCCCACTGCTTTTAAGTGGAAAGGGGTCTATAAATGCAGAAGTCTCAACAGACAGCTATTACGCTAGGTATTAACTAGGATTATGACCTGCTTTGAGAGTGCTAGGAACCATCATAAGTGACTTAAATGTACTTCATGGGAGTTTAGGCAGTTTTCCTGGTACTGATGAAAAAAGTCTCCTTGAGATCTACAGGACAACCATTTATAGTTTATCCAAAGAAAAACAGGTAACTTCTTCATAGATATATGTGCTGTCCATGTGTGTTCTGTCCCCTTTAACTTCTATTTCAGATAGGCAAATCTGGAAGAGTCTAAGAGCAGTTGCAGGCATTACTCCACAAAGGCATCTGGTTGGGCAAAAAGAGATACAGGTAAAGCCTTATAGAATCATAGAATCATAGAATCATAGAAAGTTTTGGGTTGGAAGGGACCCCTAGAGGTCATCTAGTCCAACCCCCCCGCAGCGAGCAGGGACACCACTGACTAGATCAGGTTGCTCAGAGCCCTGTCCGACCTGGTCTTGAATGTTTCCAGGGATGGGGCCTCCACTACCTCTCTGGGCAACCCGTTCCAGTGTTTCACCACCCTCATTGTAAAGAATTTCTTCCTTATATCCAGCCTAAACCTACCCTGTTTTAGTTTAAAACCATTACCCCTCGTCCTGTCACTGCTGTCTCTACTAAAAAGATTGTCCCCACCTTTCCTATAGGCTCCCTTTAAGTACTGAAAGGCTGCAATCAGGTCTCCCCGCAGCCTTCTCTTCTCCAGGCTGAACAAGCCCAACTCTCTCAACCTTATAGTTTTGATTCGAGTGTTTCTGTGTACAGAATTAATGTGAATTGATACATACATAATGTATCTTTGAGAACTTCCAGTTACCAGCAACTAAACTTCCTGTTTGAAGTGATATTTGCAGTTTAAGGTAAGTTCATTTTCTCTTGGGCTTTGTTTCCTCTGCCTCATCTCTCATTTATTTAATTTCCATTTATACACTTAATCTAAATAATTTTGATGGCATGAGGTACCTGAATTAAATATTTGAACAAACCTGTAGCAGCGTAATTGGGAATTTAGGATGTGGTTCAGTAGTTATCCAAACTTGAAACGTCTCTTCCTGTATCTCAGCAGTAAGAAGTGTCTCCAGTAGTTCATCCATAAAATCCAGTCCAAGATGACAATTCTGAAGTAACACCCAGCCTCCCTAAACAAGAATATTGACTATTACCATATGAAATTTAGAAGAGGTTATTCATAATGAAACCAGCTGTCTGTATTAGAATTAAGTTTGGTCTTGTGTGTTTGTTTTTTGGGAAGGTTTATTGTGGCGGGGGGGGGTTTTTTTAGTTTTTTGACTTTGGGTCTGTTCCTGAATATGTATTATCATTTTATTTTGTATTGGCACAGTTAAAGCAGACAGGAAAAGTGAGTGCAGAAGTTATTTCCACATCCTTATTGATCACAATGAAAAGAACATAACCAGAGCCAACATTCAAAGTAAAGTATCAGTGCTACCTAGTGGCAAAAAGAAGTAATTCTGTCCTCTCTCAGCAAAACACCACTGATAAGTAACCCCGCCAATCAGATTGAAAAGAATGAGAGTGGAGAAATAACAGCTGAAATCTAAGGAATACATCTTTTTATAAACTTATTTGTTAATAACATAATCTAAAGTCAGTGTAAAGAGGTGATAACAAGACTCTAAAACTTTTCAGCTGAAATTATTTTGTGTGCAATAAATGTGTATATATGAAATTCAACCTCTGCGTATTAATTTCCATCTTATTCAACTCTCAAGTTGCATGAAAGCTCTATTTTGACTATTATCTCTCTGCACTTCTGCTTATGAATTTAAATTCAATCAGCTTTTGTAGCATCACTTTAGAAGCCTGATGAATCAGAAGCCTGATATTAAAATGGGGCATTATTTAATCAGTTCTAAACAGTGATGTGTAGATTTCATTATAGCTTGTAATTTCATTTGGGCAATTTTGGTTTAGTTCATTTGAAAAGAAATAAATAACATTTAGTGACAAAATATAATTGAAATATTTATGGTGAACTGATGGATATTAAAAAAAAAGAGAAAGATTAAATGCAGGAGGTTTTTTTTCTTCTTTAATAGGGAACCACTTTTTTGAGGAAGATCTTTAATTAATTTGTCACATTTCCAAATGAATCAGGCTCAGTTTTTTAAAATTGTCTACCTTTAACAAAGCACAGCAGTTTTAATCATATTACATACTCTTGGCCAGAGGTGGGAAAACATCCCAGATATTTGTCTTCATATTCACTAATTCTATTTTGTTCTCGCAAATCTGATGTTCACATATCCTCTGTAAAATGTTTACACCACTAAGGCATTTAGTTCAGAAATTGTTACTAGTAGCTCTACTGGAGTACTGTTTTGAGTATCCTTGTGGGCTTTACTGAGGGCAAAGAAAGGCAGAGATGCCTCAGTTTTCACCATTCCAATGAACCAGAAGTTCATGATGACTGTTCTAGGCATACAAACACAAACAAGTATGACAGATGGATGTGTGCATTTGCACATCATAAGAAATGACATCTGCTATAAAGAAATTTCTTTTTTCTTTTTTTCCAAAGTGGTGTGCATCTATATTCCAGTACTGGTGTCACCACATTTGGTAGGACTTGAGAGGTTACTGGAATACAATATACAGAACTTCCAAAGCCAAGAGTCCATTAGGTAGAGAACCTCGGATTATACAGTAATGTCTGTCAAGTGTGCAGTAAAGGCCATATGCTAGTATTATAATTGTCCATAATAGAGAAACACAAATTAAGCAGACTGTATCATTTCCAAACAAATAAATATAATCTGACAAGAGAATTTTTTTTTCCTCATGTGAAGATATCTCACGGACAACGGACAATACAATTGAAATTCCCTGAACTGGTATTGCCTGACGTTTTCTTTTTTCTGCATGAAAGACAGGAAGCCCTGGAAAGGCTCTGAAGCACTTCAATCTATTGGGTGAAGAGGACAGGACTTTGCAGAAGTCTAAAGAAAGAAGCATTTCCTCATCTCATCGTGAGTAAACATTGCAGAATTAAATGATAAAAGAACTGTTTAGTTCAGATGGAAATCTGAAATAATCTTGATAATGAATCTGCAATAGTCTCAAAAGTGCATATGTTCTATGTTGTGATCTCATTTTCACCATTTGTCCTTCCAAAGCTTTCATGGGTGAGGACAGAGACCCAGGGAATCTAATGGATGTCATATATTGTGAGGAGTTAAGTTCTAAATCTCGTGATGAATCCACCTTTGACTTTTTATCTAACTTTTAATGAATGCTCACACTGTAGGTATAAAAGCTTATACTGATTAACAAACGGGTAATATGGCACCAGTCAAAACTTTTACTGAACACAAGTCTGTTCAGGTTTCTTTAGGTGAATATTACAAGTGATGTACTCCTGGTTTAGTAAGGACTCACTGACGGTTATGGTCAGATGAAAAATGTGTTTCATTTATCAATATAGTTCTTCCAGTCTTCTACTCTCCATTAGTAGAGCTATTCTAGTCCTTCAGAATACTGGATTAAGGCTAATTCCCAATATTTTGAGTTTGCAGGCACCTCTGGCTGCACGTCCTCATTTGCAACGCTGTCCACAACTCTTTGAAGCGTCCAGCTGACCAGACTGTGCTATTTACACTAACTTATATATTGTCTTTGAGGTGTCGATTACCATCTTTCTGGAGCTGCTGCCTAGACTTCCCATGTTTTTACTCTTTAAGAATATCATCTGCCATAACAAAATACACTATAATATTTAAAAGAAAAATGCATAACTATTGTTTGGAAATTCTTAGACATGCTGGGACTCAAAGCTGAAAAGATTGGCAAATAAAGAAACAACCAAAACCAACTGCTGAATGAGCAAGAGGCCCTCACACTAGCACAGATGTAAAAATGTGAGGCAGTATTAGGAGCCAGCACATGCTTCTGTATCTACAGCTTTAAGCTATGTGTGCACTCACCATTTTATCCAGTAGAAACTGTGCAACTTCTAGGTAGCTCTCATAGGGGAGGAGGGAAAAAAAATTTAAAAATAATAAAAGAGTTCCAGTAAAGAGGTAGGATCTGCAAGTCCTGTAGGACAGAACTAGGACACAACGTCCTTTTACCTCTGCACAACACATAGTGATAAGAAGGTAATGTGCTACCTTTGAAAGGCTGCTCAATATTACTGCTGGCAGAAGTATTGACTTGAACTCCACTGGCACGTACTTATGCTACAGTGGAATGATTTTAGGCTCAGACACTCTAGGAGACTTTTTTGCCCTGAGATATGCCTGATAGTAAGGTGAAAATGCAAAATATTAAAGATTGCATGCAAAAGAGCTGTAGAAGAATGCTAAAACAATCGATTTATATTGCAGTGGTTTTTTTTGCACCTGTTGCATTGACAACTGTATGAATTTGCGTGCATGAACTTCTTATCCTTGACCCATAGAGATGGTCCTACATTCTACAACATATTTGACAATATATGATTAATGAACTTATATTCTTCAGAAAAAGTATGAGTTCAAATTCAGTCCAAAAAAAGTGATATAAATACAGCACAATTAAGTACATTTTTTAACAAAGACATTTATTTAGGAAAGTAGAATCTCTTCACCACCATATTATGCTACTATGAATAAATTTTCTAAACATTGAAATATTGTAAAATAACATTAAAATATACATCCACAATATTTACAGTGTTTGTAGAAGTGAAGGACTGTGACTATGTTATTACTGTCAATGGGAATTTGTGGCAAATTTTAATGAAGTAAGCCACAGTATTTGGAATATGAACCCAGATTTTTCTTTGTGTAGGTAATGAAGCCATGTAAATGAGCAGAATGCATAATTCTAAAATTGCATTTGTGAACATATTAATGTGACTAATATAATGAATATGTATCAACTTCCAACTCAGTTTGTATGCTCACTTTTTCAAAATTTTCACATAATATAGCCATAAAGTCCAGAATACACAAATGCAGACTTTGTGGGTATTTTTTGTTACAAAATAATCTTATAAGCAGATTGAATGAGATTATGTTATCCACATTTAAGAACTAAAACAAGAAAACAGTACTGTCACCATGCCAGAATAAAAAAAAAATACTGTCTTTTATAGTTAGGAACTAAAAAAAATAATCGCTGGGAAGGATCATAACAATTTATTAAAAAAGAACTGAAAACATTACTGTCCAGCTGCATGCAGACCAATCGCCAGCATACCATCTTTTGTTTTAAATCGTATTTTCTCTCTAAGACGATGGTTCAGGAATAATCAATAGTGCAAAAGAATTTAAGAAATACTTTTCAGAAAAAAAAATCTCTAAAATTACATTACCCTTCTGCATCTTAACACACAATGATGAATAATTACTTCTTACCTAATTTAAGCTTCCTAGCCAAGGAATCAATCTGAATAGTTGGGTCAGATCCCACAGACAAGAAACAGATGAGAGGTGTTTGTGTGTCACTTTCCTCCCAAGTTTTCTCTAAATTCAAAATGACCGGTTCTGTATATTTCTCATCCAAGGAATTTGCAATATATTTCCTGGCTTGGGAAAGCTTTCGGTCTGGACACCAAGCCCTAGAAATAAAAACATATACCAAGATAAAAATTCAATGTTTCTTCCTGTTGCAAAGACTGGACTTCAATTAGAAATTCTATTTTTATCCAATAGAGATTTTTGCTCCATAATATGCATATATATACACACAGGCATACACATGTTTGTAGGTTTGTCTTTACAGATATAATAATAGACAGTGCTAGTAGTCTTCCCTCTACTTATGGCTGTTCAATACTTTTCAGTTGCTTACAATTTTGCCTTGAGTAAATTATTTCCACTGGAATTAGCATTGGGCATTCTGAGCGCTGCAATTCAGAAACAACCCACCAGCATTATATAGGGTTTGATTAATGTCAACCAGAGACATAGTCAGGGAGGAAACATTCCAAACACTCAGGTACCACTACCAGCTCCGAGAGGAAATAATAACACTTTACCTCCTGATTCAAAAAACGAGTAGTGCCTGGACAAAAATTGGGTCTGTCTGTCCAGCAAGTAGAATCCTATCAACGGATACATAATAATGGCCCATATATTTTAAACCCAGTGGGACCTCAACAACAATTGACAAAATTTCTAATAGATACAGGAGCGCAAACTTCCATACTAACACAACAAGATGCTGAGAAGCGACCTAACCACTCATTCACAACAGATATGAGGACCCAAGCAGAGAAATGTAAGCTTGTTTTTCCCTTTAGTAAAATACTGCAGATGTTTCACTGGGTCTGTTAGTCTTTTACGGTACAGATTCAACTCTTTTGCAATCAGTTGCGTTTGTGTTGGGGATGAGTCTTTACTTTTCCCAGGAAAAAAACCAGACAACTACTTTTTGATAAAATATATGACTTCACAAAGATTTAGTTTATAGGCTTATTATTTAATGGCTTAGGTCTTAGATGATTCCCTTCCCTCTTCAGGGTGGATAGCACAGAACAATATTGTAATTCTTCCATCAAATTCTGGCCTTTTTTACTGCACAGGATGAATCTGCAAATTCTGGCCTTTTTTACTGCACAGGATGAATCTGCTCCAAAGACAAATCATAGTCTAGTAATTAATGTTGTTGGCTTTTTTTGTAGTGTCTCTGATTTATTTACTGCAGCACTTTGAAAGTATACAATGAACGTAGGAAGATATGATCTCATGCATAAGGCAGCTGAATGCTGCTTTGGGGAACACCATTCTATCTCAAGTCCTGCCACAGAGATCTCAGCTGATGCAATAAAATAATTTACAGCACACTTTTCACATGGGGCTTTTGAATACCTGTTTTGCATTTTCACAAATCTATTTTATTATTATCTATTTTATTATTTATTTATTTAAAGTTATTAAAAATAGTTCATTTTAAAAGAAATTAAAAAATTTAAAAAATTTTTGAAAATTTTCTGAATTATTGTACTATTTTAGTGCCTTTTTGGAGAAGGCTGCAATGTGGTTCCCAGCTTCTATTTGTCTTGAAAAAAAAGCAAAGCTATAAAAAATATTTTCTAGAAGAAATTTTTTTAGACTCTTCAGAGGATAGCTCCCAAGTGAGTGAATTAAATCATATTTCATCTGAGTAAATTAAATAACATTTCATGTCAACCAGAAATTCGTAAATATTATATTATTATGATAATAGCATACCAATAGACTGAGACACATGATGCAACCATGTATGCATTTGCCAGTTTTCTGAAGGTGCTCACCTGATGAGTAAAAGCTTGCGAAAAGTATCAAGCGAATCGTTATATCCGTCAGGTATAATTTCTTCCTCGGGAGCATCTTTATCAAACCAACTTTTCCATCCCTTTTCATTACAGGCTATCTAAATTTATTACATTTACACACATATAAATATATTGCAACTGTAGCAAAATCCCACTGTAAATGCATATTTTAATGAGATTCTATCATTATATTAGGGCATGTTACAAGTAACTTTAAGAGTCTATAGCATTTAAGTCATACGCCATGAGAATTGCTATTAAGATATTACAAATAAAAATTTTAGCATTAAGATGCAGGCTCTTAAGCTAATCAGTTATGCACTGATCCTCCTCCCAAACCCATGCAGCTACTTCAGAAAAATCAAGAATTAGCAGAAGGATTCTATACTACAGCGGAAACATACTGTGACTACTTTATTTCTTCTGATCACAAAGTACTATGAGGAACAGAAAAATCTGTCCCAGTGCAGTCCAGCCAGCCGAAGAATCACAAATTAAAAATAACAGACTCTAGTTAGGTTTTGACTTGGGAAAGAATAAATCTGACCACAAATATGATCACTACTTAGGAACCTCTTAAAACCCATGACCTAACAGGACAAGGGATACTGGTGGACAGAATGTAGTGAAAATTACTAAGCAGTTGAGCCTTTAATGCAGTAGCTAAGAAGAGTCAGTTACTGCAAGATTCTCAGATCCCTGGAAAGAGAACAAGGAGCAGACTGATACAGCCTGTTCTGAAATACAGTTCTATCTGCCCATTATAAACCAAGGAGTTCTGCCCGGTTGACTGACTTGGTTTCAAACAGAAGTAGTTTCAGAGCAAACTAATCCAAGAATGGACTGGGAGAGGAGTGACAAACAAACATGCAGGGACCTCTTCCAACCACATATTTCCTATAACTAAACTCACTCGAAGATATTCATAAACACCAAATGTCCCTTTCTGAACTATAATCCAAGTCAGAGGAAAAAATGTACTTTATAAGCAAATATCTCAGTTCTACATTAACTGACATCAATCTGAGCACATGCTAGGAGAGTATTCAGAGGAGGTACCTTCTGAAAGCTAGGCCACAGCTAGAGATAGGTTACTGAGCTAAAAGGGACTTTAGTTGACTCAGTAAAATCATTAAGTTTTCATTACATATCTCTTTTTACCATCACTCACTCAACCACCGCTAGAAGTAGTAACAGCGTGAAAAGGAACAGGGTCATCTAGACTTTTAAAGAGGAACATGTCTTTAATAAATTAAGTTAGGCACCTGGGACTGGAGGACTTAATTTTTAGGCAAGAAAAAATCTGTAACTGGCAAGGAAATAAGAAAATCACAGGCAACCTCTTGAGAACTGGGTATACCATTTTCAGGCTTTTTTACTTTAAATCATTTTCTGCTTGTATCCATTTAGATAATGACACAGTTGTACTGAATATGATGAGCCAAATAGAACAGCACATCTAATGGATGCAAAGTATTAAAAAGATGTTATTTTCATATTTGTGTTTTTCATTGATATCCTAGTTGGCACCTTCCCAGATTCCATCTCTGTCTATTACTAAAGTCACCTCATTGTCACTTTAAAACTTGCAAATACATGGCAATTTTAAGTTAGTGCTAAAAGATTAGTTAAAAAAGAGGCCTTTGGGGGTAACATGGTCACCTAAGTATTTTGGAGTCTAAAATTTTGTTTGCACCAGTTCTAGAAAAGTCCTACAGCAGAACCATTACAATCTACAAATTAAAAGAAAAATACATAATTCACAACCCCATGGCTAAATTTAAATATTGTTAACAAGTGTGCAGTTCTGCCCCACAGTTCAGTTGGGCTCTGGTGCCCTAACGACCCAGAGTGAAGGCTTAACTTGAATTCCCCCAACTCTCTCGTAATACAGTATCCTGTTTTGCTACCTCCAGAAACCAAAACCTGGAGGAAATGGGCTGGGATGTATCCAGGTCTTGCCTCGACACAGAATCAGGAAACAGCCAGGACCACTTCCATGTTCATCATTTAGATAAAATCTCTGCTACCCTTCAGGGCACTAAATACCTCACAAAATGGACTTGGCTGACCAATGCTATAATAGCAAGAATTTAGTGTCCTGGCTATCAGCCTGGTTAACAAGGAGTGCTTAGGACGTTCAAGAAGAGAAATACTTCGGGAGTGTTTTACCTACATGAAAAAAAGATAAATTTACCAAAGTAAAGAAAAGAAATGATAAGCATGTCACAAGCTTATGTGCACGTAAGTTCATGTATGACTTAATAAAATAAATAGTATTTTTATAGCTAGCTCATCATATCTGAATAGCATGTTAACCTTGGAATGGAAATGAATATTTAAAAATAAGCAGTAAACAAATTACTTGTAAAAGTCTATCAGATTCAAGATGTAAAACATTGCAACTTAAAACCTGACACTCATACATTAACTTTCTGAGCCTTTTTGATACCTCTACTTTTTTATCCTTTCTTCTTATGTTTGTCTCTCTTTCACTGGCTTCGTTTTTTACTATTACTTTGCTCCTGTTCTCTTCTCTTTCTACCTCAATGACTATAATATAAAATACAATAAAGCAAAGAAAAACCCTGTAGAGCAAATAAATATACGCCTATACATCAATATACCCCCATTCATGCTACCTAATTGTTCATTTCCATGCCTTTATTCTATATTCTCTCTGGCCTTGTTCTTAACTACATCTCCTGTGCATTTTAAATGTAAAATACAGGACCATAATTATGATTGAGAAACTGGTTATTAACATTAAAAGAGAATTATTAGATATCACCTGGTTCAAAATTTCTGCAAATGTTGGGAGTTTACTCAATTCCACTAGGTTTAGCCATGTCATGTCAAGAATCCAGTGGAAAGGTTTGGGTGGGCAAGACTGTAGATCCAATGCTGCACCTCCTGTAGATAGAAACATTCTGATGAAATACACATGAAGTTCCAGGGGTCAAGATATATTTGACATTTCCTTTTAAACCATGTTTTCTAGCCCATGTAATTTTCACTGGGGTTACTAATTGCACTCTTGTGTACTTATCATTTATTTCATAAGATCACAAGATAATTTAGTCTGGAAGGGATCTCAGGAGGTCTCTAGTCCAACCTGTTCAAAGCAGGGTCACCTATAAGGTAAAACCAGGTCTTTATTCCACCTGGTCTTGAATGGAGACTGTACAACATCTCTAGTCATGGTCGTCTAACATTTGTCTGTCCCGATGATGAAAAAAAATCCCCTTACTCCCCCTCTGAACCTCTCTCTTTTTTCTAGTTTATTTCTGTTGTCTCCCACTGTTGTGCACCACTGTGAAGAGCCGGGCTCTGTCTTGTTAATGGTCTTCTCATAGATGTTGGAAGGCTACTCTTGGATCTCCCCTAAACCTTCTGTTCACCAAGCTGAACAAGCCCAGTTCTCTCAGCTTCTCATCCTAGATCATGTGCTCCACGTAGTTTGTTGTTATAAGTTTATACAATGATACTAATTATATTTGAAGTATGGGACACATGTTAGCAAAATAATCTGTGATCAGTGGAAAAAAATCTCAAACACAACAAAAGAAGAAACAAACTCTGGGCTGATGGAATCAATCAGTCCTAGACTAGCCTAACAAGCATAAATCTTTTTTAATAGCATATATAGGAAAAGATAGCCAGTAGATAATACGTGTGTTTCATGTCCTCTGATATGCAATTGAAGAGCAAATACAAAGGAACACATCTAGGACAAGACTGCAATCCAATTTTAAAGAGATTAACTTCTAACTTTTTATCATAATTTTCTTCTTCTTCTTGTAGCTGCCTCTTCCTCAGTCCTCCACAAATAATGTTGCTTCTTGGGAAAACTAGAGGGTGTTGTTTCAGTGGTCTCCAGAACTAGGATAATTTATTCATTTAGATCACCTGTATAATGAGTTTCACCAACTTGTTACAAACAAACTAAAAAATCACCGAAGATGTTTTGCAATTCCTCTGTAGTATGCTTTTTAATATTTACAGAGCTCCTTAGTAAAATACATTTTTTGCTAGAGAAGATCATATTCTTCACTTGCGCGAGTTCCCCACTTTTTACTGGTAAAGGACACAAACCAAAGTGTCAAGATACCTACAAAATCATCAATGAACTTAGAAACACAGTCCAAAAGATATGAGAAATATTTCTACAGTTTTAATAAAAATTCTATGCCACCATCATAGGAGGCTATTTTCTTTTAATTTGGGGACCTGCTTTCTCTGTTTTGCTGACTTAAGGTTACCTTCAAGCCATAGCATTAAAATATTCAGGAAGGGCCTAGTGTTTGGCTTTACTGGAATACAGTAAACAAAATGAAATTCAATTTCTGTACTTTAGCAGAAGGAAAGATTGATAACCTCCTGAGACTAGCTGAATAATGATTTCTAGGGACTCTTTCCTTTCAAATAGAAATGCTTATTTCACTGAGACGTCCCGTGATAATATAGCTCATGATAAGCCATGAAAGCTCTCCAGGAAAAGAAACAGAGAGAGGAGGAAGAGAGATTTATTTTTTAAATAGATCCTTTATTCAGCTGCCCGATCATGTTTGGCAGCATGGCATTCATTTTGCACCAAGGAGGAAAATTGAACAATTGCAGAAGATACCTAAGAGTCCAGGTCAATTTGGCTAGGCATCTGCCCACTTCCCAATCTGATTTAATACAATGTGAATAATTATAGAAAATCTATCGTTGCTTTGATGTAATTTTATGCACCAGAAAAATTTCTCATTGTCATTTTATACACCAGAAGAATTTCTCACTATCAGATCAACTGTGGTAAACCTAGGCAGTAAACTGCAATCATTTGTTCTACACAAAAATTGCTAAAAGTGCTCCTGTATTTATTACAGATTCTCATCCCTTAGAAATGGGTAAGTGACCACTTTCTGCTTCAGATGCCCAAGCTGTATTTTCCTCTGACAAAACAAGAATCCATGAGCTGAAAAGCCAGCAAATGCGGCTCCTTATCTAATGCTTTACTAAAGCAGGCAGTTCATTTTGAAAGCGTTTCCAAGCATGGCCTGCCTGACATCAGTGGTAAATTGGTAGCTGGACACCATTCTCGAAGGACAAAACCATTATGACAAACTGGAAAGCAAAACAAAGTGAATTTAATCTTGCTTCCTATGCATTTTATTCATTAAAGGCAGATAATGATCTTCAAATCTACATTCAACACTTTGATATTAGAGCTTTGCAAGATTCATTTGAACACTGTAAATATTCGAAAAGGTTTTATATGTACCTCCGCATAAGCAATCCTGACCACATTTTTCAGCAGAGGCACAAATTCACAGAATACAGAAGAGGCAGACCTGGCCAACTGGGCCACAGAAACACCTAATATTCTCTAAAAGCCAGAGTTAGCTGGATGGCAAAAGTCAGAGACAAGCTCAAGCTGATAAAAGACTGTTTGTAGCAACCCCCGGACTTCATGTGGAGTTGTTCTGGCAACTTAGAAAATAGCTTTGTTCAGCTCCATCACAGCAGAGAAGCAAAGGAGGAAGAAGTAATCTAATTTATAAAAATAAGGATACAAATGTAATGTAAAAGTGTACAGTTATTAAACCAGTTGACAGAGAGAAGCAGAATTATCATCTTGATCTCAGGACAGAACACAGCCCAGTAAATGGCAGAGGTAGAACTGTGATGGAGAACTCCACCTAACTTCACCGCACCACAGCAGGGATAAGAACAGAGGCAGCTCCCACAGAACTGCATGCTAGAAACCATGCAGCCAAAAAGTCATATTCTGAAATGGTATAAATGTTTAGAAAGTTGAAATTAGCTCCACATATAACACCATTTTTAAAAATTTACCTCTAATGAGTGCATGGAACTCTCTGTTTTTCACATGTCCTCTCTCAAGATCAATTTTTAATGTCAGGAGGAGGGTAAAGAGGAATTTGTGGTTTTCATACAAGCCTCTAACAGAATATGAGTAAATTTCAAAGGTAAGATACTCAATAATATTTGATACTCTTTTCTGAGGTAAAGGAGACTTCTTAGATCTGAATCGTAAATACAAAGCAAAAAGAAAGCATGTTAATAACAGCAAATACATTTGAAAGACAAACATCTGAATAATAGAAAAATCTGTATCTTCCTGCTTGGCCATGGATTGATCAAATAACTTCAAGAACTGAGCCAGTGAAGTTTGATACATATTATTGACCATGCTCATTTCTGAAATAAGAAAATATAGAATGCTTCCACGTGTAGCAGCAGGTCGATATTCCTCCAGAGCAGTGTTAATCTTCACTTCAGTTTCTGCTGCCACAGACAACTTTGCAGCTACTTCAGCAGCTGTTTGCTTAGTTGTTTGCAGAACATCAATCAAGGATTCATCATCTACTAGTGAACTTAAAAAGTCAAATATTGGATGTTTAGGACATTTTTATAACAATTTTTTTCATTTCCTATATATAAAAATCGAAGGCCAAATTACAGGAATTATTTATAACAAATGGAAATGATTTACTGAATTGCAGAAAGCTTTTAAAATGGAGACCAAACAGGATATGTAAGACTAAAAATTATTTTTATATTTAATATGCTAAACAAATGCATTCAGCCTATGTCAATATGAATGTACCTATACCAACAGCTTTGCAGCATGTACTAGAGAAGTCAGCTTTCTTATGCACATAACATACATATTCATATACAGTACTTCAATTATTTTAAAGTCTGTTGAATGGTACACTTGAAGTCAAAGACTTAAGGTCCTAAAGGCAATGGTCACACAACAACATTCATGCATCTCAAGTACTGACTGATAGATTTTTTGGAAGTTACCACCCTCTTTTTCCACCAAAGAGGCAGTAATTGATCATGTGCAGGCTCCTAATATAATGCAAAAAACTTTCAACACCACTTAAGCTAGCCCATTTTATTTGGCACTTTGAATGGGTTAAGGATTTGCCAATGATCAGACACCTCATCTCACCTGAGGGTCAGAAAGCTCTCGAGAAATTGATTTGTTTCACAAAACTTGTTTAGGTGTTAAAAATACTTAGTGTCTAGGGTTGTATATAGTGGCATGCTATAGCACCAAATCCCTCATACACTGGTAAATCACCATACTTCATATTTCTACCATTAAATGTTCTCTTATTTTATCTTGAATGGATAAATCAATTTCTGTATGGAAAGGTTCTTATGTGAATCAGCTTAAACTGCCTAATCTGCTTAATCTTGATTCTTTTACACTTTGATACAGAAACTCTGGTTGAACTCAGTTTGTACAGAAGATTGTCTTCCAGTTCTTTCATCTTCCTCTTATTAAAAGTTACATCTTCCATGAGTTTAATTCGTTCTGCCTCTAGTTCCTATTATTAAAAACCAAGAAAACGGCATCACACTTTATGGACTGTAACTATAAGTCATACTTAAAATTCGGTTATTTTTCCAGTTCATGAAATGTGCATTTTACTTTTTCAGGTATCTAAAATGTGGTTTTATAACTTTTTTTTTAAAGCACTGTTTATTCAGTAACTTATGAAGTATCTTATCAATGCCAAATGTTTGTGCTTAATTGTTCGTGTTGTACTGACAGCCATACATAGAAGATCCTCTAGGTGTGTTTTTGTTATTTGGAAATTTCCATAGTGAATCTGAATACAGTTTAAAAAAATGACTCTACATACTAAAAATGGTTAAGTAAAAAAAAATAAGCATCACTATGGTTTGTGTGTAGTTCATTTACCTGTTTTTCAGTATGAATTACTCTTCTCAGTAACTGATTCTCAAGTCCTTTCCTTGTAACACCAAAATCAATAATTGATGTCATTGCATTAATGTCAGGTGTGAAAGCAGGATTGGGTAGCTTTGTAGTAATGTACAGTCTAAATGAACTCATAACATCTACTTCTTTATCACCAACTTTCACCTGTGGAGTAAGTTAGAATACTATTAAGCAGAGGAAAACGAGCTTTATTCAACTCAATAATACTGACCAGAAAAAAAACCCAAAACATTATCTGAGATGCCAAAGAGAGAAAGTTTATTTCATAACTCAAATTTGTCATGAAAATAACAACTGATGACCAAAGGCAGCAGTTAGAGTACATGGTAAAAATAGCGTTCCCCTCCAGGTATAGGGATTACTTCCACTATGGGTTCTAATTAATGGTTTCAGAACCATTTGGTTTAGGATTTGTGCTTCTAATCACACCTCAGATGAGGATGGTAGAAACTACTGATCATTGGAGAAATAATTTTCTCTTGTGTTCAAGGAAAAAAAGAAATTATCTGATTCAACAATGGAACATAAATTATTGGAAATGAACTCTTTACTTATTAAGACTAAGCAGATCTTAAAGAATCATTCTAAAGGAACTATAAATTTATTCAAACTTTTCCACAGAAATTTTTACAGAAATAAAGATATTCCAAATCAGCTGTCTAACTTGAAAGCTGCATGTGCACAAGGAAATCTGATCACGGTTTATGACTCTTCAAGGCCACTTCAAATACCTGGCTCAAGAAGGAGTAGGACCAAACCACTCCCTTAAGCCTATTGTTTTCTCTGATACTCAAAGTAAAACTACTCCACAAAAACAGCAATCATTTTATTTTCATTATCATAGACAATCTTGTCTACCATCTCTTTCTTATCCTAGCCAGTTAATTAAGATTATTTGAGAAAAATACATTTGGAAATACACAGCATGTGCAGTCACATTATTTCAGGATGTTTGGAAAGGGGTTACTTTTAAAGTTTAGGAGTGATTATCTAATGAAGGTCAGAAAGTCTCATGATTTTTCAAGGTTAGGAATATACTTAATATGATTTATAAAACTTAGTGCTTTTTGGCCTGCTCCATCAGAAAGCAGTTTTATTCCAGATTAAAGATTCTGCAGTTGCTACAATCAGCACTCCACACCAGGAAGAGAAAGATCTTTTCAATTCTATTAATTGTGTTAAAGGTTGTAAAATGAATTTTTTAAAAAATCAATAGAAAGTATTGTAAGCTTTCAATAGGATAAACATAACTGGTTCCAGTTTGGAATCTTCACTAGTAACTTCAGTAGTTAAACTCAAATCTTAGACTCATGAACTTACTACTCAGCTGAGGCTCTGTCTCCTATATTTTATTAGATCAATTTGATTCTTCACATTACCCAACTGACTATGAAATTTGCCTTATTCAGCAGAGGTTTGGAATAAAAGGGCAAAATATCATTCATCACAAAGCTAACTACTTATTCCATGTCTTTTGTTTGATTACTAACCTTAAAAGAAGATCCAGATTTCATGAAATTCTTTTCTAATATATTATCAAGGACTGGATCCAACTCTTCCTCTACATCCTCAATCACAAGAGATTGTCCCAGTGAAAGACTATCTTCTAGGTGTGTACGGAAATACTTGTCATTCAAAGTTGTTACCTCAAAAAGTAAATTATAAATTGATATAAAGACAAAAATTTTTTTTCAAAGTCTTACAAGAAAACCACAGATCTAACTATGATTTTTTTCATTGTTTTTGTTAGTTGCATTTTAAAGAAAGTAATAAACGTTGGCCATGCAACAATTTATGCAGTAATACCACTTGTGTATACAATGAATAGTACCATTAAAAGGTGAATTAAAAGATTGGCTGCAATTGAATCTGCAAAACTTCATTATAAGAGTAAAATGTACCAAGTAAAGTTGATACAGCTTATTGGGAACTGAAGATGTTACATATATTTTTGAAATCAGGGAAGCTTAACTTTTAATTTTCTATTCTATATCCTGAGGAATGCATTTTCTAATTTTAGCTTTGAATTGTTGAGAAATTCTTTATGGAAACCTGAATTCAGTCTAACAGATGAATTGCTGTTACAATATTATGAACTCAGATTTTTGAAATATCATGAAATGGGATTCATAATATATGAAATCAAACATCAACAAATAAATAAATCACTTTTTTTCTCTTGCTTCCTAGACTTTGACTTTCAGAAAGTTCTCATATTATTTTGAAGATTCTCACTACGGGTATGAAACAGGGTCATTCTACCAGAAAACAGCTTTGCAAAAAAGGACCTTGGGGTCCTGATGGACAACAAGTTGAGCATCAGCCAGCAATCGGCCTTTGCAGCAAAGGTCAACAACATTCTGGGCTGCATTAGGAAAAACATTACCAGCATGCTGAGTAAGGCAATTGTTTCCTTCTGCTCAGTACTGGAGACACATATCTGGAGTCCTCTGTCTAGTTCTGGGCTCCCCAGTGTAAGAGAGACACTGAAGTGAATCCAGAAAATGACCACTAAGATTATTATGGGATTGGAGCACTTGACATATGAGGAAAGCTGAGAGAGCTGGGATTATTTAGCCTCAGCAAGGCTCACAAGGATATTTACCTATGTATATAAATACCTGGCTGGTGGGAATGAAGAACAGGAAGACAGACTCCTGTTAGTGGCATAAAGTAACAGGATGAGATGCAACGGGTACACACTGAAGTATAAGTAATTCCATTTAAACATAAGAAAAAAACCCGACAACTTTATTGTGAGGGTGATTGAACACTAAAGCAGGATGCCCAGAGAGGTGGTGAAGTTTCCATCCTTGGACTGGTCAACCTGCTTTAGTAGAGGCTGCTTTGAGCAGGGAGGTTGGACTAGATGATCTTCAGAGATCCCTTTCAACATCAACGTTTCCGTAGTTCTGACAGTTTGCTTCATTAATGATAAAATGATAAGCAATAACTTCACACTCTCTTTACTCCAAGACTTAAAATCTTGAAAAATCTAGAGATCCTAAAACCTCCCATATTTATTTAGATTCAGGAGGACATATGAGATTTTGCAACATTCAGGCTAAGGGGTTTAAAATGCATGTTCCTTTTCCCATGCTACTTCATTTGTGAAAAATGAATTTGTGATGCAAACTATAGGCGACACGTGAACGTCATTGTATCATATTTAATGAGCAGACACTTAACCCTATTGGCTTAAGGAATAGAAGAGCTATTAAAATTGCAGTAAAAGGACAGAGTTGTCTTGGGTTTGGTTTCATCTGGTTCTCCTCAATTTACTTTTGTAGCAGTAACTTCGTGTACGAAGCTATCCAGCTCAGGTTCTAAATTCTGAACTGCAACAGTTTAAGTACTTTGCCTACATTTAGAAACATGTAAGTTATCCTGCCTTTGTCTGTAATCTTCCTAATAGTTTCCCCTTTTAATCTCATTTAATAATTTCATAATATACTCTTTTGCTATACTTTTCACCACTTCACCCTCTGTACAGGGAACCTCTTAACCAATTTTGAACACAAGGCTGCCTCCTTCTTTTTCGTACTTCTTGCTAGATTTCATACCAGTATTTACTTAATATATAATCTTATCCAAATCCTGGAATGGGATTTACAGCTCAAGTTCCCTACTGACACATCTATATCATTGTCAGTCACCACACAAGTTAAAGTTATCTCAGATATGTGCTTATGAGAGCTACACTGACTCAAGTGCAGACACACCCTAAGGCAATAATGTGTGAAGGAATATAATACAGCACATTATTCCTTTAAAACACTGTTCACCTGTAATTCATTATCCTGTTCTTTCTTTTTAATCCATCATTTGCCTTGAGTTTGTGGGTCTACCAAAAGGGGGTATGTAGCTGCCTTAGTGACAGTGATACCATTCTGAATTGAGAGATCATCTCCAGGCAGTCCTTGAAGATTCCACTCACTAATCCGAAGAATACAAAAAAACAAAAAGTAGTTTGGAAAAAATTTCTCTGGAGTTGACCTTCAATTATGATTGTTCTAAGAAATATGGGGACATCAAGCCAAAGGGGATGCATATCCAAACCTGCTGAAAAGTGATTAATGCAGATGGAAAAATACTTCCAGGATCTTATTTTCATGGATGTTTTTATCTATATAGAATGATAAATAATATCTTTTAAAAGTGTCAGGAAGTAAAAAAGCAGCTTGACAGCCATATTGAACATTGGCATCAATTAAGAGAAAACCTAGCTAAGAGAGCTTTTGGGGCTTAATATTTACTGCAGAAAACTTTAAGATTCTGGCATTGTCCGGTTTGGTTTCTCATAAATTCACACTGAATGAAAAGACTGTGCATTTTTATATCAAATTTTCTCTTTGATATAAAATTTATTTTTGAAACCAGGCCCAAATAATATTGACAGAACTAAAAGCTAACAATCAAACCCACTGTTTTAGTAGATATGTGATCTATAGCTGTGGTGATGGGTTCTCAAAATAAGATACTTGAAAGTCCACTGTCTTACTGACAATTGTCTAATTGTATATATTATAAACAAGTGACATATTATAGAGAAGTGACATATTATAACTTGTTTATCTATCTAAACCTTGCTTAGTACTCAGATGTTTAATGGAAATTGCCAAGAACATTTGGAAACCAGAGAACTATGGTGCACAGCAATATTGGGCATTACAGTTCTGTTCTAAGCAAGGACAATGCTCACTAACAGTCAGAGAATGTGTTAACTGAAACTAAAATGTAACCCACCAAGCACCAAGAACTTACTGTTGGCAGATCTACCAACATAGAAATCAGGTTCAAGTGTTCAGAAAAGGGGATTTTATGGGCTCTCATCTCTGCTTCCCATAAATCTTTAAGCAAAAGCTGCCTGAAGTTTTGATTAAAAGGTCCACAGTATGAAAGAAAATCTGTGCAGAGCAGGACATCTGCAAGTCTAGAAGAGGAACAAATTCTTAATTAAAAGGTGATGTACAGTTTCAATTTCTATGGATTTAGACAACCAGCTTTTGAAACATAAGAAGATCTCTGTTCTGAGGACAATTTAAGGAGAGAACTGTTGCTCTTTGAGAACAACAAATAGGTTTTTTGTGTTTCCAAACTATCTTTGTGGCATAACTTAAGAGTAGTATTATATGAAAACATTATCTTCACCACTACAAAGTAATAAATCCCTGATGACAACTATTCCTTCTTTCACAACAAAAGCAAAAAATTAGTTTATTTCTTAAAAATGTCTGCAATACAATATTTATCAACTGATACAAACTTTATTATCTTGGATTGAGCAGACGTCACTAGAAATGCCCAATTTCCCCATAGGAAATTTATGAAAACAGAAGCATTCCATAGAAGCTGAACCTAAACTTTCAGGTTCTTTACATTTAGCGATCATTTTGGCAGGTTTCTCGTTTTCTAGACAGCTAGCATCTCTGGCTTCTAGGCGGCTCAACATTTTGTCATTTGGACAGCAGCACAATGGGGACTTCCAAGTTTCCATGTTTCTCAGAATATGGCCTGCTGTCCCACATGTGTGTCAACACACAGACTATAGGACAAGGGTTACTTTCTGGTCTCTAGGCCTCCTGCTTTTATGCAAATATGTCATAAATAATATCAAGAGGGATGCTTCTTTTCCTATCCAGTATCAGGCTACAAATCCTTCCATTTTCCTTCTCAGTGTCAGCCTTAGATCATCCCTACCTCCTGCCCATTGGAAATATTGGAATGAGGTGCAGGACTTGGGCGGCAGGAGAGGCAGCTGTACCATAGACACATAATTGCACTAGAAACAATCCATTTGGAAATAAAATCCAAAATTAGAGGTATTTTTCTGAACTGAAATACAAGCACTCAGCACTCAGGTATTCACTTCTGGGACAAAAATTCAAATTTCAGGATACTTCACTTAATTGCGTGACTATATTAAGATTTCCAGAAGAAAAATTTAGTACAACTACTACAGCTACTAAATTGCTTAGTAGCTCTTCAGCTTTTACACATTTTTTTCTCTGGTGAATTTGATACCTGTTAATGTGAGATTTAAATTCTTTACTTTGCTGAGTCCACATAACTTTCTCTCCACTCAGTCCATCTATAAGCGCAGAGGCTGCTTGCATCTTTCTTCTGCATGTTTCTGCATCATCCAGTAAGTCCTAAAATTAAAAAAATGTCCTATTTAATTTAATAATAGAATGCAAAAATCTGGAGTCATTTTATATATTTTTTCATCCTCTTTTATTTACTATGAATATTTTATTTAGTCAAAACTCATTCTTGAGAACTCTAAGTGCATCTCTTGTCTTCTATGTTCCTATTCATAGGAAGAAGGAAATACGAGAAAACATAGATTTAAAACTCGTATTTCTATACCTGAACCTGTTCCAAGTCATTCCAGGTAGCAGGCCCTACATGTGTGTTTGTATCAATTCCTGCTTACATAACAGTATTGTATGTAAGCATTTTTCATAATAGTAAATTATTTTTATCTCACCATTTTCTCCTTCATTGCTGCATCAAACTTTGCCTGCACTTTATCCAGTTCAGCTTGCTTTTCATCTAAGGCTTCTTGAGCCTTTGCTAATTCTGCATTAGCCATTTTCAGGTAGCCTTCCTGTTTTGCCACGTTAGCCTGCAAAGAGAAGGAAAATTAAAACAATAATCATAAAATATTTGAATACACTCAATGAATTATTTTAAGCCTGTTTGGTTGGTTATCATGAGACAACAATACATCAAAAAACTTTTATATTAATATTTACATAAATATTACAAATATTTAATCTGAAAACTGTCATATATGTACTGCAGATACGATTTTTTTTGATAAACAACAGCATCATACTCAATGTTCCTACTATATATTGTCAACTTTATTTCTTTTAAAAATTCTGCATTTAAAGAAGCTAGTTAAGAAAGTAAGGTTTCTGATCCATATGTATTAGCCTAGAGGAACAATCATTCAATCTTCTTTCTTGATTATGTGCTTTATTATTTCTTTTTTATTTGTACATTCTGTAGCAATCACCCATCACAACAGGAGATTGGTCCTCTATTAGCTAACAATACAGCTTTTACACAGTAGAAAACCATGGTCCTCAAACAGTGAATCTTCCCATTGCTCCTGAACTGATATTATGCTGAATGCAGGAAATTAATTAAATAATTTTTTTTAATCATCCACCTGCATTATTGTTGCTTTTGTAAATAACACTTCCACCAGTGACAAAAAATGTGGAAAAGATTTGGAGTCACCATCCAGATGCTTTCCCGTTGTACTTTTTTTTTTTTTTATTGGTAAATGTGCTACATATAGGGATTAACTACTTGTTTTAGAATCCAAAAAGCAACAATCACTGCATTCGAGTTTCTATATGGTCTGTAGCACTGACAAATTTTTTTTGATTCAAATGTTTACAAACATCAGAAAGAACACCCATACCAAAGTAAAAATGACACTTAAAAATGTTTTACTCAGTTTGGTTCCCACTGTTGCAACATGCTCCTTTACTGATGTGAGTTCTGAACCTCTTCAGAATGCCAATATTTGGGCAAGATACAAGTCCTCTGCTCCCTCTAAGTTATTGTGTGAAAGCAAAGAAGGTAAACTAGCAGCAAACCTCTGTTTGCAGGGCTCTTTAGAGAAGGAATGAAGATCCTCTGCTGGTACAACTATTTGAAAACAATTATAAAATAATTATAACACAATAAAAACAAAGACTGAAAACAGCTTTCACTGTACACAGTAAACCAGAGCACATAAATTTAATCTAGGCTAAATTTTTGTTCTGCATTCTGTCTAGAGTCAAGAAGACAATATGGGGTTTTTCTGCTCTTATCATCCTTACCCACTAAAGTCTACAGGCAATTATGACTGAATTAAGTTACCTAAATATATGGTTTTAAATCCTACTACTATTAAAGCAAATGAAATTAAACTACATGGAAAGCAAACACAAAGCAAGAGATTATGTATTACCTTGAGAGGTAAGACGTCTCTGTTAACACCATAAAATGATGCCATGGCTTGTGTCCAAGAGAGGAGTCCTGCCACATTACCACACACCTTTTTACCATGCTCCACTGTATAGTCCTCCATTCTGAAGTAAGGCTGTAGTAATTCTACTGTCTCTTCATTGATTGAATCCTTAGGAAACTGCTGTAGACTCTGCAAGAATGGGCCACTCATAAGCTGCAAAATCCAACACAGGATATTTATAAGCTATTTACACATTTTACATTCCAAAGCTTGTTCATAGATGAATACATTAAAAAAAGGTTCCTAAAATTCTTCTATAAAGAGAGGTAATTCATACATTTAATATTATATGTGCTATTCAGCTGTAACTCCTCCCACATGCCTTCAATTATTTTAAAGTTTTAAGCAGTTACACTCCAGTAACTAGGCTTGAAATTTATTGATGTACTTTCCATCTTCCATATTCCTTTGTTGCCATTTAAAAAACATTGAAGAACCAGCACTTCATTAAAAAAACTGAACAAAGATAAAGCCTCAGAGATACAATTGTAGCTTATCTAAAGAATGCCAAAAAAACTGCTTATGCATTTGTGAAATGTGATCTAAATTCTTCTGGAAAGGGAAATAATTGGTTTTAACTTTTTCTAACAAATGTTTAACATGTTAAAGGCAACTCATGGAATAATTATTTATCCCATTTCATTACGTCGGTGGAAAATAAAAAGTTTTGATGACTTCTTAATTCCTGGAAAAGCTTAAACAAAAAGCAAGAACTCTATTCATATCAAAAATATGAAATTTTTCTTCATTTTCATGACAAAAAAATTGAAGCAATAATATTGACAAATTAACAGACTAGTAGAGGTAGAACGGTATTTAAAGAATGGCAGGAGAAGACATGGAAATAAAAGAATATCCTGAGAGAAGATCAGAGTCCAGAAGGAATAGATGGCTGTCTGACCAAAGAATTTGGGCCAGAAGTATTGAAATGCAGACTGGGAAACCTACCAGCTCTTAGTCAAATAATCTTTCAAATAATCAAGAAGCCTGGGAGGATCAGAAAAGACTTTTTAAATGTGCAGGAATAGAACAAGGAAAATCTAAAGCTCCTACTGCAAAAGTCTCTAAGAAATTCAGCTACCGCTTGCTACCAAATGAATGCTATTTATATACTATGCCTATCTTGAAACCATATGTTTCTGCTTTTCCAAAATTCTATCCTGTTTTGAGTAAACAGCGTCACAAATTCTCTGATATGTAAATTGATATTTCTGATGTTTAAGAAACACTGTTTGAAAACTCTACTTACTTTTAATGATTCCCCCAACGATGGCTTGCAGCAAGGCTTTTCTGGATCCATGGTAACTGGATTTAGTTGCTTTTGGAACAGTAGCAGACAACAGTCCATGACCCTCATAACTAGGTGAGGAGGTTTTGCAAGTTTTCCAATAGTAGCGATATCCACTGGTTTGATGGTCTATTTGAAGAAAAATGTAACAGAATCCTGCATCAACACCATTATTCTATTTTCCCATTCAATATCTTGATTTTAATGTTTGTCATACTTTCGTATGCCAGTTTGTACTAAGTACATACAGAAAAAGTGAGTAACTGGGCTTACTTTAATAAATTTCACAATTTCATGAAACTTTACAATTTAAATGAATAAATATTAGAAAAGAATATTTTCCCAATGCTGAAGACATCACTCAAAAATGAAATTTAAATACATGGGACAGCAGTATTAATTTAACTGTCAGTCTAAGTGACTGAAGAAAAGCATATTGTAAAATTGCATAGGACTTAATTAAAAGCAGTTTCCTTGGTAAAAAAGTGCTTTGGATTTTTAAGGGTTAAATGCCATAATTTATTGTGAGATGGATTTGGTTATTTTTGTTGAGTTTTCAGTTATTACAGTTATGACATACCGCTTTTATACTTCATTTTTAAGTAGCATCACTAACACTTTGCTTAGTTCAATAATGAATACAAAAATAATAAAAGATTGCAGACTTCAAAGCTAACATATCAGTTTTTCTACAAAATGCATGCATGTCGCTACCTGTCTAGAAGGAGTGGCGTTACAGAAACTTTATAGAAACCACAGGGTAATATATGAGTCCACACATTTCATAAATGAATTTTGTGACCATTTTTGGAACTTTCATTAATCTCATTATCTAAATGTCAGTGTAACAGCAAATAATGCTCCTTTTCTGGCTTTTTGCACCCAATATTGTTTGTTGCATAAATTCTGATAACTGGAGCAGCAGGCCTTAAAAATATAATATATTGCTGATTTCTGATTCCAGAGCTCTTTATTTTTTAATAGTTCAGAGTAGAATAATGAAATTAAGTAGTGCAGCAATGCCTCCAAATTTCTTAACCCTGATTCTGATCACCCTGAATCCCTTTTGTTGCCTCTTTCTATCCAAATTAAACTTTTTTCTGTGAAGAAACAGACAGCTTTTTATTCCTCTTAAAAGCAAGATACAACTAGTTAAGTATGAAGAAAAAACATTCTTTTAGAACAAGAAGTATTCTTCCGAATTCCGAATAACAGATATTCTAAAAGCATCTATTAAGTTTTGAAAGTTTCACGCCTTTATAATGATCAAGTATTAGGGTGGAAGCAGAACAAATACTATAAAACAATCTCTATATGTTCAAAGCAAAATGTTAGCTCCATAAATATTCATTATAGTCATGATCACCAACTGTGAAGAGCTGGTGACAGCAGTTAAAACCAAGTGACAACTGCATGTTGGTGGCTCTAGCCTTCCTTTCGTGGGTGACTCAAATAGTACTAATCAAAATGTAAGAATTTCACTCACATTCAGTGCAGCTTCTGCTTCTTCTAATGCTGGTTTAGCTGCCTCCAGTTCACTCTTTGCTTTCGCTTTTTCCAAATCAATTTCATCTACGATTTTTTGTGCTTTATCTTTCACACCCTGGACTTCATTTTTTACTTTAGCTGCAGCTTCAGCACTTTCTGTGACTTCTGCTAGTACCTGGAATTGACAATAAACACATAAAATGTGTAAACCAAAATGGTGGAACAAGCAACTAAGTAGTCATACACAAGAGAAAACAAACAAGTAAAGGCTATTTTACAGAAATATACAAAGCTAACCCTATGTATATAGACATTATATAATTATGGAGTAAAAATTCATGTAATTTACAGAATCGACATAAAGAAATATCATCTGAGTCTCTCAGCAAGAGTCAGATAGTAAAAAATGAATAATTTTTATAATGAATAGAAGAACTTTCAGTGGCTTTTAAAGACAGTTTTTTATCCTATGATGGATTTTTATCCTGTTTGAACCTACACTTTTTCAATACAATAAGTATTTGCTTTTTTCACTATCATTCTGCACATAAAAATAAAAATAGTATAGCTAGTAAAACTAATGGAAGATGGCAAACCATCTGCACCAAAGGTCAGCCTTTCTTTTACTCCTTTAGTCTAAAAAGACTCACTTTTCATAGAATCATAGAATGGTTTGGGTTGGAATAGATCTTTAAAGGCCATCTAGTCTAATCCCTCTGCAATAAGCAGGGACATCTTCAACTAGATCAGGTTGCTCAGAGCCCCGTCCAACTTGACCTGGAATGTTTCCAGGAATGGGGCACCTACCACCTCTCTGGGCAAACTGTTCCAGTGTTTCACCACCCTCAATGTAAAAAATTTCTTCCTTCTATCTAGTCTAAATCTGTCCTCCATTAGTTTAAAAACCCTTGTCCTATTGCCACGGGCCCTGCTAAAAAGCCCCTCTCTATCTTTCTTATAAGCCCCCTTTAAGCACTGAAAGGCCACAATCAAGTCTCCCCGCAGCCTTCTCTTCTCCAGGCTGAACAAGCCCAACTCTCTCAGCCTGTCCTCATAGGAGAGGTGCTCCAGCCCTCAGATCGCTTTTGTGGCCCTCCTCTGGACTAGATCCAACATGTCCATATCTTCCCTGTGCTGAGGGCCCCAGATCTGGATGCAGGATTCCAGGTGAGATGTCGCCAGAGTGGAGTAGAGGGGCAGAATCACTTCCCTTAACATGCTGGTCACACTTCTTTTGATGCAGCTCAGGATAAGGTTGGCCTTGTGGGCTGTGAGTGCTCATTGTCAGTTCATGTCCAACTTTTCATTCACCAGCACCCCCAAGTCCTTCTCGGCAGTGCTGCTCTCAATCCCTTCACCCCACAGCCTGTCTTGATACTGGGGGTCACCTTGACCCAGGAGCAGAAGCCTACACTTGGCCTTGTTGAACCTCACGAGGTTCTCATTCAGGCCCACTATTCAAGCTTCTCTAGGTCCCTCTGGACGGAGTCCCAGCCCTCAGGTGTATTGACCTCACCACTCAGCTTGGTGTCATCTGCAGACTTGCTGAGGGTGCACTCGATCCCACTGTCTATTTCATTGATGCAGAAATTAAACAGTACTGGTCCCAATATGGACCCCTGAGGGACACTTGTCACCGCTCTCCATCTGGACATTGAGCCATTGACCACTACCCTCTGGATGTGATCATCCAACCAATTCCTTATCCAATAAACAGTCCACCCATCAAATCCACAGCTCTCCAATTTAGAGAGAAGGATGTCATGAGGGACTGTACCAAAGGTCTTACAGAAGTCCAGATAAACAACATCCCTTGTCCACTGCTGCAGTCATTTCATCATAGAAAGCCATAAGGTTGGTCAGGCAGGACTTGCCCTTGGTGAAGCCACGCTGGCTGTCCCGAATCCCCCCCCTGTCCTCTATGGGCCTTAGCCTAGCTTCTACGAGGA